GTTTTCGGCCGGCTAAAAGAAGTCCCGTGAAGTCCTATACAAGAGATGCCTTTAGGCGTGGCCCGCTCCCCCGTTTCTCCCTTCCCCACCTGTTGCTCCTAAAGAACAGAAGCTGACAGGCGGCAGACGTGCAAGGTTGCACTGACATCCCGGACAAGGCAGGGCGACAGCGGCGGGCTGTCAGCAGGGATGAGTTCAACCAGCGAGAGGTCTTCACTGTCTCAGAGACGCGGGGAGACAATGTTTGTCACAGTCTCTCTCCGTCTTCTCTATGTGGATACTTAGATCGCGTAAAAAGCCCAAATGCTACCGCCCAATTTTTCTGATGGGTTTCAAGATCAAGCTCAAGGACATAGGAGGCACCAGGGGGTTATTTACTTCTCTTGGATAACTGCGTCTCTCTCTCTCTTGCTTTTTATTCTTAAGTCCCCCGCTACTCCCGGAGGAGGGGGTTACTGGCATGCTGGAGCAGGGAGGGGTCTGGGGGCCTTCTTCACCTGCCCCCTTCACCAGAGTCCCAGGGGCCTGGAGGCCTGCTCCGCTCCCCCAGGACAGGCGCCTTTGCCGAGAAGGGACGCTCCATCCCTGCAACATAGCTCAAATTCATTTACATCAGAACCAATGGTTGAGATGGCTGCCATTTAACTTAGAACCTCACTATGCAAACTTTGCTCCCCAAATTAGGCCCTTGGTGAAGATGATTGATGGCTCCCCAAATTTAAGTCATTAGCATTGTAAAATTTTTTTTTTAGCACTGTAAATTTTTTCAAGCCCACCAAAGATTATACGTCATTTGTGCTCTTCTTTCCTGTATTTTCAAAATCATAAAGTAAGTATATGCTATTTTTGTCAAAGTATTTTTTTCAACACCTTAGTCTCAAATTCTACCACGTGAGCAAGCCGTTTTTCTCCAAATACGATTGAAGAGAGTAATAAACTATGCATATTTCTCAATGATTTTGTAAATTAGTAACATAAACTGTAGTTGACCCTCATGTGCCCTAGAGAATATACAACTGCTGATCGTATGGGGCAACACTGCCTTGGACAATGACATACCACCTCCGTCCACATGCCCTAGGGAGAAAGAATAGCCTACTTGAAGCAAGAACTAACAATTTTTAAGTGTGTGCCACGTGCCAGATCTGCTCTAAGTGCTTTGCATAAACCACTCCCTTAATCTGCACAACACTAACACTGGGTTCTACTCCTAACCCTCCTCAAGGATGAGGACAGGAAATGATGCATCCAAGCAAGACACGAACCCAATCCTTCTATTTCCACACCACACCAGAAGAACTCCTGACGCACTACCCTCAAATTCCTAGTGCGCCCTCTTTACACTATGGATTATTTTTAGAAGCTTATCCTTTTAATAATGACCATGAAAATGTACAAATTAGAACTTTGAAAACTCTAGCTGAAAGATCTTTTCATCTATGACACGGACTCCAATAAACTTCAAGATAATTAATACAAATACGAAACATTCCAAGTGAGTCTTAAAATAAAGCTCAGCTGATCTCTGCCTTAGAAAATTCACTACAGGGACGCCTCGGTGGCTCAGTCGGTTAAGCGTCTGCCTTCAGCTCAGGACACGATCCCAGGGTCCTGAGATAGAGTCCAGCATCCAGCTCCTTGCTCAGCAGGGAGCCTGCTTCTCCATCTGCCTCTGCTGCTCCCCCTGCTTGTGCGCTCTCTCTCTCTGGCAAATAAATAAATAAAATCTTAAAAAAAAAAAAAAAAAAGAAAATTCACTTCAAAAATAAGCTGTGTGCTCTACTGAAGAGGCAGAAGGCTTATCATTTCACACCCCTAGTCCTTGATACTAAGTGAAAGAACAATACTTATTTTGTTAAAGAATTTTTTTCAGCTTTATTGAGGTATAATTGACAGGTAAAATCCTAAGATAGCTAAAGTGCACATCGTGGTGACTTGAGGAACAAACACACTATGAAAGAAAGATTTCGTCTAATTTTAATGATAAAAGTGTGAGGTATTAACTCCAAACTTGGCAGAGATCCTCAGATGATCTTATAATAAATGATATCAGATGCTATGTTTTGGTGTACATAACGTGATATGTGTATGAGAAATGAGAAATTTGGGAAATAAAGGCGTATTTGTACTACATGGAATGACAGTGGTGACCACCAGAGTAACAGTAGTGACTTGAATAGTGTCCCCCCCTCAAAATTCATGTCCAGCCTAAACTTCAGAATGTGAACCTTATTTGGAAACAGGATCTTTACAGGTGAAATTGGTTGAGGATTCTAAAAAGAAATCATCCTGGACTTCGGGTGGGCCCTCAGCCCAATAACAGATGTCCTTACAAGAAGAGGAGGCACACAAAGACAGAAAAAACACCGTGTGAAGACAGGGCTGCAGAGACAGGACTGATGCTGCCACGAGCCAAGGAGCACAGGGAGCCAGAGTGGCAAGGAAGGATTTTTCCCAGGAGCTTTCAGAGGAAGCTTGGCCCTGCCAACTCCTCCATTTCAGACTTCTTGCCTCCTGAACTGTGAGAGAGTAAATTTCTGTTTTAAGCCACTGGGTCTGTGGTGATTTGTTACAGTGGACTTAACTAAACTAATACAGAGAAATAAAGGCGTATGTTACTATGTAGCAGAATTCCTAAAGGCATTTCTACAGCTTTGTACTCACCAGGTCTCTCCACTTCCATAAGACACATGGATACTGATGGAAAAGAAACACCCCCTTTCAAAGGCAGAAACAAAGGCTATAGACTGAGAACAGCTAGCAAAGAAAAGGAGACCATTTGGATGGGAAAAGCAGCTCTGAGGGACTTCCATCTTTCAGGATCCTCCAGTCCTGAGTACAGGGTTGGGATGTTCACTTAATAATAAACTGCCACTTTTGTTACTGTGCTGGGGACACCATCAGCCATTAAGCCATTTCCATGAATGTCAAGTCTAGGGTGTCACCTGTCTGCTGTATGTCCTCCGAGAGATGCTGCCCAGCTCACCAGCAACAAAAAGCGCCACCACCCACCTGGTATGGATAACTCACCACCTAAGGTTGTTGAAACACAGCCCACCAAAATTAAGAGTGGGCGCTCTAACAGCACAATGAGAAAGGGGTGGTGACGTGAAAGGGAGGCCTTGTCCCCTCCTCACCCCTTAAAAAACTAGATCTAAACAGTCAGTTTGGAAACACCCACTACCCCTACCACGTAAAATCCAAATCAAAAACCATAGATGGAAAATGGGATCAATTTGACTCTACACAAATATCAAAAGACACTGCAAACAAAATTTAAAAGTATTTGACAAACTGGGGGAAATATTTACAACATATACCGCAGACCAAGTTTTCATATAGCAGACCTGAGTTTCACAGAACAGAGAAAGTTCTACAAAGCTGGGCACCGAGTGAAAAATGGGCAAAAGGCAGGAAAAAAGCAAATCGGAAAGTACAAATGGTTACTAAAAATATGAAAAAAATGTCTATCCTTCTGAGCAAAGACATGAATAAAATCAAAGTATCAACTTTTAACAATAAAATGGGCAAATATTTTTTAAAGAAATTAAAAAGATTATCCCCAATGTGGGTTAAGGATTGGGAGACATTTGCCTGGAAGGCAAACTTTCATATACCTTCAGAAAGCCTCAAAGTGGGCATTTCCTTTGATCCTTCAATTTCACATGTAGGATTTATTCTAAGGAGTCAGGGGTGACCTCTGTTAACCTTAAACATAAAATTGTCAGTTATTTTGCCAGTAAATGGGTTTAGTCGGGAGTAACAAAGAATTGGAACTTGGGGCATGTCAACTATGGCAAAACCTTAGGCAAGTCCAACAAACAAAGGAGAGGAACATGATTTTATGGAGAAGGAAGAAGTTGGGAGGAATTCAAAAGTCCATCTGGGAAATCAAGAGTTCAGGGTGATGACTTTCTCATTGACTGAGTTACAGGGGGTGGCCGCTATCTTGAAGGAGATGCAAAGCACATCTCTCCCTGTTGGGCCCATAATTGATCATTCTTTCCTGTTGACGCTCTTCTGTTGGGGAGTCTGTAACTGACACTTCTGTTGGAGCCCGTAATTGAGTTGAATGGTAAGGGCTCCCCCTTCTAGCCTCAGACCTACTTTAGCGATGTTTCCCTTTATTAATTTTCACATCTCAAAACTCACTTATAGGGATATTCAACATGGCATTAATACAATGGGGAGGAGGGGCAGGCGGGGAGGAAGAGAAGTAATATAAATGTTCATTAATTCTGCCTATGCAGTCATTTAAAATTCCTATGTAATCATTAAAAATCACCTGCAATTCCATCCTCTGCCTGGATTTTTTTATTTGTCTTTGGAAAATAAAAATTTTTTTATTTTTCTTTGGAAATGGAGGTAATTTTTAATTTTTCTTTGTACTTTGCTGTACATTCCAAATTCTCTACTACCAACACGCATTGCTTTGGGATCAGATTTTCTTTCACCAAAGAAATTCATCTTTATAAAGAGGAGGTCAACGGGAGTGCTCTGCCCTCTGTCCACTTCTTCACCTGCCCGGCTGGGCCCAGCCCCTTCCCGGGGAACCTGGCATCTACACCTGCCGGCCTGGATCCACGCCTTTCCCTACCTGCCTAGCAGCCAACCTGGAGCGCCCTGCTCTGGGTCCGTGCACCTCCCGGCAGGGAACCGGACATGCGCACTGGACTCGGGATTCAAAACACCAGTACACGGGCCAGTGCGGCCGAGAGCGTGAAGGGACAGCTGCACTGCCGCGGGATCCGTTCGTTCGCTCGAGACGCGGCCAGGACGATGGTGGGAGCCCCGAGGGTGCAGGAGAGCCGGCGCGAGGTTACCGGGCCGAAGCGCCTCCACTCGGCTCCCCAGTGCGCAAGCGCGCGGGCCCAGCGGCCCGGCTCCCCGGCTCAGCCAGTCCCAGGAGGCGCCGCGCGCGCGTCTCCAGGGCGACGCGCGGGCGCCGGGAGGCCGCGGGCTTGGCGCTGCGGCGGGAGCCGCGCAGAGCAGGTAACGGCCCGGCCCGGCCCCAGCCAGAGCCTCCCGCTCAAGCCCCCGGGCCCTCCGGTGCCGCCGGTCACTCAGCCCTGGCCCCTGCCCAGCTCGGGGGGCCGCGCCGCTCGCTCTCAGGGGAGTGGGTAACGTAGCCGGGCCGCCGGCCGCCGCCTCCCGCAGAGCGTGGCCTCCCAGCCCGGACAGGGGCCTGCGCCCTCGCCCGCCCTCGCCGCGCCGCCGGGGCGCCTCTTCACGCGGCCGGGCCGCCGGGCGTTCGGGCAGGGGCGGCCCCGACGGACCCCGGGACCCGCGGCCGCCCGGCGCCTCCGCCAGCCCCGCCCCCCACTCGCGGGCTTTGGCCGATACTTCGTTCAGGTGTGAATCTGATGCCTTCAGGTTCGCGTCTGCCTACCGGCTTTAGCTTTGTTTTGCTTTGTCCTTCTGACCTTAGCGCTGACGTTTCCTTATCCGCAGCCCGTGGAAGTGTGAGTTCCTTGAAATCTCTGCGCTGTGTTCCTCGCTCGCTCAGCCTTGGAGCTCTTTGTCCGCAGTTTCCCCCTCGCGCTGTATCGTTTCCTTGCCAGCCTGTGCGAACAGGTGACTTTCTTTTTTTTTTTTTTAAGATTTTATTTATTTATTTGAGAGAGAGAGAATGAGAGAGAGCACATGAGAGGGGGGAGGGTCAGAGGGAGAAGCAGGCTCCCCGCTGAGCAGGGAGCCCGATGCGGGCGGGACTCGATCCCGGGACCCTGGGATCATGACCTGAGCCGAAGGCAGTCGCTTAACCAACTGAGCCACCCCGGCGCCCAACAGGTGACTTTCTTAAGATCGGTGTTCCTCTGCTGAACAAGACCGTGAGCCTTTTTTTTTTTCCTGTCTACACTCGCTCCCTAGATGAATTCATCCAGTCTCATAGGCTCAAAACCCTTCTAAACGCCAACGAGCCCCAAAAGTGTGTCTCCAGCCCTGACCCCCTCCCCCGCCCCGCTCCGAGCTTCAGACCTGCATACTCACCACGGGTCTGCCCACATCTACGCTTGGATGTCTAAGGCACGGCCTGTCATTCCCTCCAACCTGTTCTTGCCACACTTTCACCCACCCCATTACTGGAAGCCATTCTCGCGGTTGTCCAGGCCTTGAGGTCCTCCCTCCTTGACTCCTGTTTTTCTCCCTCCCCACATTCAGTCTGTCAACACATCCTTCATATCATATCCTGAATAGATGCACAATCCCACCGTTTCTGCCAACCCCCACTATTCCCACCCCGGTCCATGCCACCATCATCTGCCTGCTAATTGGAATGTGGACAGTCTTACTCTGTGTTGCCTTTCTCTGTCATTTCAAGTGAATCAGGTTTTCTTTTAAGGATATGAGTTTCATAGTTTACATAGGCAAAAATAATTTTTAGTATGTATTTTGAAGATTGCAGCTTTTAAACAGGTAGCCAAAGCTACATAAACACTGTAGTGTTAACAAGCTAAAAATGGAAAGATGCCCCTTGGCTTTCTTGGGTATATGACTGTGTCCCTGGATAGAACTTGGGCAAGACCTTTAAAACCGTACAGAAGAGTAAAAGAATCCAGAGCCTCCTTCCAAGTGAGAAAAAGAAGACATGTAGGAATTTAGGTTCTGTTTATTCCCTACTCTTTGGTTTTGGTTTTTTAGAGAAGCACCAAAAGAGGCAAATTGAAATGGAGACAAGTGATCATCCCAGTGTTGGTCAATTTGACAGTGAGTGCCTGGGCACTGGTACTCCAGTCAATCAGTCCCAGAGTGATGCAGGGTTTGATAGGACAGGTCCTTGCCCTCAGGGAGCTGATGGCCCCGGCACACCTGTACCTTGCCAATCACAGACCCCCCAGTTCCCATTTTTTGTCTTTTTCCTCAAGTGAAACCCCAGTTAACCAAAGTAGCATGGTAGGATCACTGCAACTTGCAGAGGGGCCATAGGATACTGCAGATCATAAACCTCCACTTTTACTCAGATTTGATCTCACACCTTCCCCTCATGCAGTCACTTCCTAGAGGAACAAAAGCTGTCTGCTGGGAATCTCTCCAAGCCCCAGCTACCACAACTGCAAGCCTTACCTACAGCCGTACCCATGTTATCCCTCCTATCCAAGGCCTCCCCTTCCTGTGCTTTGGATATCATCCCCACCCGCTTGTCAAAAACCTCATGATTTCCCTATCAGCTGTCACCTGTTCCATCTCAACTGGCTCTTTCCCTTGGCTTTTAAACATGCTCCATTGTCCCATCACAAAAGAAGGAGAGAAAATCTCTTTTGACCCCATGTTCCCCTTCATTTTCCAGCTATTGCTCAATCTCTCGTTCCCTTCGACAGGCAAACTTTTTTAAGAATTGCCGTCTTCCATGTATCCATTTCTTGTGTCTCATCCCTTAGCCCACTCTAGACTGCCTTCCACCCTCATCTCTATACTAAAACAAAAACCACTGATCAGACATTTCCAGGCCTCATCTTGCTCAGTCTCTTGGCAGCATTTAAATTCGACACTGCTGCTCCCATCTCTTGAAACGCTGTCTTCCCTTGGCTTCTGTGCCCCCATCACCCCGCCTCTTTCTGCTTTTCCTGCTACCATGCTGTCTCACTCTCCTCTTCTGGGCCCCTTAATATTGCAGTTTCTCAAAGCTCAGTTTGTTCTCATCACGTCTCTCCCCATGCCGCCCGTATTCGGACGTGAGGCACAAACCCGTGCCCGCCATCTTTATGCTCTGGACTCCCAACTTTCTCTCTCCAGCTTGACCCTCTTTTCTGAGCTGACCCATATGACCAGCTAGCGGGATGGCCTTGCCTCTTAATACCTCTCAGACACCAATACCGTGTGCAGAAGACCAGTCTCCCACCACCCCTCCCAGGTGGGACCTCCTCCCTGACCTTTTCCCTCACCCCGGCATCCAGTGGGTCACCGAGCACTGCCGCCTGCGCACCTTAGTCCAAGCTGCCACCTTCTTTCTGCAGCCTTCTGAAATCCTCTCCTCTGGCTTTTCTCTGTTCTGTTCTCCACACTGCAGTCCAAGTAACCTTCAGGAAGCAGAGCAAATTATGTTATCTCTTCCCCAGCCTCCCCCCTTTGCTCACTGCTAGCTCCCCGTTGCTCTTGGATTAATGACCCAAATCATAAACCTGCCCTCCAGGTGCTCACCCCCACCTACCTCTGGAGGCTCACTGGGAACCCCTGGGACCCAGCCACATGGGCCTCATCTACCCACCAGGCCGGGAACTGACCTCTCTCCATCTACAATGTACTTCCTTCGTACCCTCCATTCCTTTTTGGGTGGTTAGTTCCCACCGACCTGTCATATCTCCACTCATTTGGGCCTTCCATAGAACTTCCAAGGTCACCGTCTAGGTCAGGTTTCTTTGTCATGTATCTTCACAGAATTGTATCTCTTTCCTCTAAAACATTTTGATTATTTTATTACGAGCATATAAGCTCCATGAAAAGAGAAGCGTTCGTTTGTGTTCGTGACATCCCCCTGTACCTCATACTGTTCTGGCACATAGAAAGCTCTCAAATATGTGTTGAAAGAATGAATGAAATGAACATTTTAATGTGTAAGAAAAATCAAATGTAGGGTATTTTAGTACAATTTATTAGAATAGAATAAAATTCTAGTAAAAAAATATCAGGTCAACACTGAAAATTAAAAAGAAATGTGTCAGTGACCATAAGAGGGAGCTGAAAATGCACACTTTGAGAAATTTAGCCCTTAACTCATTCAATTTTTGTTAGCTTCCCGTGGTATGTTGCACTTGCCACCACTTGGTGGGAGTAGAGAGGCACAGTTCCTCCTTTCTCATCCTGAAGGCACTTCTTTGGAATATTCAGTCTGGTAAGGAATTCAAGGTTTTTGTTAAAAATAAACAAAATATATCAAGTTGTTAAATGACCAAACCTACATCACTTGTCTATAACCATCCAAACACTGAACATGGCACATTTTCATATTATCAAATAAAGCTTGAACTTTGGTATGTGTATATATAGGTATATTTAATTCATGGATTTTCGTGCGGGACTGGCCCTTAGAAGTTACTGAGCACAATTAACTAACTTCAGACGTTGAAGAGTTGAGGTCAAACAGCTAGCCATGCCGGCAGAGCTGGCACGAGAACTCACATATCTGGCCACGCGTGCCTTCTTCTTTTATAGCAGACTCCCTTTCTCCTTAAGCAGTGTTAATTCTTGAACTTCCCTTCTTGAATATGAGAATGACCAAATTTCTGAAGCAAAATATTGGGACACATAATCTTAAAAGTGGGCGCGATGTTTGAAATAGTGTTTTTGAAAGCCCTTAAGATAGGTGATCATCTTACCGATAGGATACTATTTTTATAAGCTAAACGAAGAGCTTTGCTGTTCATTTAATATTCTGCTTAATTTTGTGTCATAGTGTCTGTGTTAAAGAGCTCGGGCCTTCCTTTGTTCTGCAGGAAGACCCTCACCCTGGATCCGGCTGCTGATTTCTCATGACCTGACTGTGGCCATGTTCCTGGGAGGAAGACCTCTGAAATGACCCTGTGTCCTTCTCAGGCACGGGGAGGCACGTGTGGTCTACCTGTCCCATCATGGGGGATGTGAACCCTGATGACCTGGTCAGGATGGTATCTGCCAATTTTCTCTACAAGGTCACCATCTTTCCCTTTTTGATTAGTAGGATGCCAAATTCTTTTCCTTATCAGTCTGACATTTACTGGCCTTTAGCATCCGTTGACAGCTCCTGCCTGTCTCAGCTACCTCTGTGATAGTTGTCGAATCGTCATCCTATCTTCCCACCATTCCTTGTTCGCTTATTAGTTGTCATCCTACCATAAGGAAGAGCTTTCTCTTCTTTCCTCATCCATTTAGTTATTCATTATATCAGGATGGACTCACGGATTCCTACTTTATTTTAGTAGGTTGTCATCTTGTATCATCATTTATTTTGATGCTCAAATTGTCCTAGATTTGACCAGCGAGAACTTCATTAAGCTGGCTTCTGTGCCCTTTGACACATACCAGCCTTATATTGGACTTGCCTTATCCCAGGCCTGGAGTTACCCATTCCTCCAAGGAACCTGATTCTTCTTAAAGGAAAATGGTATTTTAGTGGAGGTTGGTGCTCAGTGTGCTCATTGTCCCTGGGGGGCCATTGCTTCTAGGCCCTCTCAGGGAGCGGAGTTAGGAAAAATACATACACACATACACATAGATCTATAACTTTCTGTATCCGTCTGTGTGTATTTTTAACCCAATATTCCCATTCAACACCTGAGGGTTTTTTCCACATAAGTAAAACTCTTGAAAGTGGAAAGAAACTTGGCCTCCGTGATTCTAAATATATTTCCTCAATTAACTTCTTTGCTCTGTGTAGTTAATTTCCCGACCTTGCCAGCTGCCTGCCAGCCCCTTCCCATTCTCTGCCATCTCCCCACCCCCCACCCCTGCCCTGCCACCCAGCTTTCTCAGCCTCCGTGCACACCTGCACCAAACAAACCCTCTGCACAGGGTCAGCCTTCTTGCTTTTTCAGAATGTCCATCCTGAATGCTGGTGAGAATCCGCTGTCTTCTCCAGTTAGTTTTTCCAAAGCCAACAATCCCACCTACTCCACAAAGTTGGTCATGTTTTTCCAAGATGTAGCCCAGGCGAGCTTAGGCAAGATGGTTTCTGGGAGCATTAAGTTACTTCTCCAAAGCATTTGAACTCCCCCTCTTCTTTGACTTTTTGAAATTTGTAATAGTGCATTTGATTTATATTCTAATAGTCTGCTCTTAGTCTCATTGTGATGCGTGATGTTTTTCCAGGTAAGTATTAGTGTCCTGTGTCTGCTGTAACAAGCACAAACTTGGTGGCTTAAAACAACACAAATCTATTCTCTTAACAGTTCTGGGGATCCAAAGTCTGAAAAGAGTCTTATGGAGCTAAAAGTAAGTGTCAGCAGGTCTGGTTCCTTCTGGAGGCTCCAGGGGTGAATCCTTTCCCTGGCCTTTTCCAGCTTCTAGAGAAGCCTGTATGTGGCCTATGACCCCTTCCTCTGTCTTCAAAGCCAGCAACAAAGCATCTTTTTCTGACTCTGCTTCCTGCACCATATTGTGTCTTCTGACCAGCTCTTTCAAGGTCCCCACCCCCACAGGCCCTTTGTTTACATCAGGCCCACATGGGTAATCTCCCCACCTCAGGGCCCTTCACCTGATCACTGCAAAGTCCCTTTTACTATACAAAGAAGTTCTGGCCACAGAGTCTAGGGATTCACAGGTTCTGGGGATTAGGACATCCTTGGAGTGACCTGGGGGCCTTATTCAGCCTACATGGTACCAAATGCAAGTCTTGTATCTTAAAAATGGGATTTTAATTCCTTTCATTATGGCAGGTGATGGGCAATCTACAGATATTGATTAGAAAATGAACATCTCAGGGAGCCTGGGTGGTGCAGTCAGTTAAGCGTCCAACTCTTGGTTTTGGCTCAGGTCATGCTCTCAGGATCCTGGGATCAAGCCCCGTGCTGGGCTCTGCTCTCAGCATAGAGTCTGCTTAAGATCCTCTCTTCTCCCTCTGCCTCTCCCCACCCCACGCTCTGTCTCTCTCTTTCTCTAAAATAAATAAATCTCTAAAAAGAAAAGAAAATTAACATCTCTTAGAGTTTTTTATATATCCGTACATGCAGAGATGTATTTCATTCTTTTATGTTTTACACTATGCATTAGCAGTATTATCATTAATCATAGTTATAATGATACATTATCCAATCCTTTAATTTTTGATGGATTAAACTGGATTCTAATAGTTTTCATTTGTATTTCATTAATTAATTGAACATCTTTTTTTAAGATTTTATTTATTATTTGGGAGAGAGAGAGCATGAGCAGGGGGGAGGGCCAGAGGTCCCAGGACCCTGAGATCATGACCTGAGCCAAAGGCAGACGCTTAACCAACTGAGCCACCCAGGCGCCCCTAATTGAACATCTTTTTATATATTCCTTGGTTGTCTGTGTTTCCGTATTGTGTTTGTTCTGTAATGTGTTCATATACTTTGCCCGTTTTACTAATGCATTATTATTACACTTCTTTATAAATTAAAGAAATTAGCTTTGTCGTATGTCTTGAAAATAGTTTTCCCATTTTCTAGTGTGCCTTTCAACTTTGTGATTTTTTGTTGTTGTTGTACAGAAGTTTTAAGTTTTTGTGCAGCTGCTTTTATTATGTCCTTCGGTGGTTTATTTGTTTCCAACATTTACATTTTTACTCCATCTGATATTTACTTTAGTATAAGGAATACAATAAGGATTTGCTTTTGGCTTGGTTTCCAGATGTCTAGCCTATCCCCTCTCCCATGATTTATTGAATGTCCACTTTTCTCCACCTTTATCTTACACTAGGTATCACTACGTATGTGCTTCTGTCTCTGAACTCTATTCTAGTACGTCGTTCTGTTTCTTCAATAACTAGAATCAGGCTGTTTTAGTGCCTGGGCTTCTGTCTCCACATCTAACAGAGGTCATCCATCCCATCCCTGTCATTCTTATTCAAAATCCTTTGGGCTCTCCCATATTTATTTTTCCATAAGAATTTAGTGTCGTTTTGTCAGATTTCAAAAAAAAAAATTACTCTTGGTGTTTTATTAGGAATATTTTGATTATGTAGATTAAAGTAGGGAGAATTTACAACTTTATCATCTGGGTCCTTATATAAGAACGCAATACATCTTTCCACTTACATAAATCTTCTTTTATTTCTTTCAACAATTTTAAAGTTTTTTCTATATTATTTGTATTAAACCTGTATTGGATGGTTTCAGATTTTTAGCTGATACAGTAAGTGGGATATTTTTATCTATTTTCTGAGTCATTTGCATTTGCATATAGGAAAGACTGAGTTTTATATCCATTTAGTAACTGTAGGTTTACTGAATGCACTTTATGTTACAGTGTTTTACAGGGTTTTGTGAGTAAATGGTCATGCCATCTGCACATGATAATAATTTGCCTTTTCTTTCCGAATGTTTATGCCTCTTATTTCTTTCTCACAGATCTAATTTCACTGGCTACCACCTCCAAAACAGTATTCATTAACAGAAGTGATAGTCCTTATCCTGATCCTTGCAGCAATGTCAATTAATGTTTCACTATTAAGCATAAGGCTAGCTTTTAAGTTTGAGACACGTATTTGTTTATCATATTGGGAAAGCATTCATTTAGGGTACTTAGGGCATCTTAAGTTGGGTCAGGAGATGTGAAAACTTTGTCAGGAGTAATGGATATGGAGACAGGAATTAAGGACGCATGGAAGCACCCTGACCATTAATTTATTTAATCAATATTTATTGAACACTTATTATTTCCTGGGAACTTCTGGGCACGGAGGATGTGGCCATAGACAAAACAGTCAAAATACTGCAATCATGAAGCACATGATTCAGTGGGGCACTCAGGCAGCAGATAAGCTAAATAAGTATAATATGTATTATATCAGGTAATGAGATGTGCTATAGGGAAAAATAAAGTGGAAAAGGAAACAGCAAGTGTTGAAGTATACAGCAGTCCATAAACAAATGAGTATATATAAATTAATACTGATTCAAAATTTTTAACTTAGTCTTCTATGTAAATGTTTATTTGTGAGGTCTTGATATTTTCCTTTTGTAATATTCTAGGTTTTTTGAAATATATTCTTTCCTTAAAAAGAGACCAAAACATGTCAAAAAATACTGCCCTGGAAACCTCATAAAGACTACAGTGTGAAGAACCCTCCACTCAGAACATATAGTTGATCTTCATACATCTTAGGAACGTTTGATAAAGGACAGCAGGTATGTACTAATTCATTTTAAAACATTTTAGCGTATTTTTTTGCACAAAAGCAGACTTGAGGACAACTACACAAAAGTGTAGTTTCAGGATGATTCAAATGTATATCTTGACCTTGAACATTCTTCTTTCTAATTCTATAATTAAATGAACATGATACACAAATGTATTGTTCATCTGGGCAGCCATCCCTTCTCGCGGTGCGTTCCAGAAAAGCATATCATCAACTGGATTACATTTTTTCCATTTAAACAGTGTTTTTAACTGTGGGTTGTATTCCTGAGTCATAACAGCAAAGAAACCACTGTAAACCCTGTTACAATAGAAACAGTGCAATTATGCTTTGAGGGCAATCAAACAGGCACTTTTATACTGTAAACACTAGTCCATGTTCAAAATATAAATGATGCCAAAATCTGAACTATACACCACCATAAACTGGTATATCAAAAACTAGTCTGCTTGCTCTATACTAAGCATTCATAACATAATTACTAACTACTTAGTTTTAAATCCTTGAAGGCAGAGGTTTGCCTTCTTCATAACCCCAGTGCCTGGTAGATACTAAATAAATGTTCTTTGACTGAACATTTTAATCAATTAGTTAATTAGCTAAAAAGAATATTAGATGGTTGGTCTAAGACCTAGATTTTTCAGTAATGCACCACATAATCAGAAATCCATATCTGTGGAGCCTGCATATATTTTTAATTGATAACAATGAGGTATTGCCTAGTTATACTAATACAAAGACACTCAAAAGCAGTTTCATCAACTTAAAAGTGTATTTATAGACCTGATACTAGTCATCAACCCAATTTTAACAGATCAGTGAGAAAACTGGTGTTTAACAGACTGACTATCCCAGAGAGCTGCTCGATACAAGCATTTACAGTACATCTCATTGCTGACTAGTAATAACCAAAAATTACACTTCATTTTACATTGTCCATGATGACTCTCAGACATCAGTGTCATGAAAAAGAATGGAATTATCACAGGTGAACCGAAACAGACCCGTATTCGGGTCCTATAGGTAGAAATTTTAGAATAGTTCTGGGGTCCTGGGACTTCCAAACTTCTAAGAATGTTCTGTCTCTTTAGTGGGTATCATTTATGTTAACATCAAGTAATTCTTTTGGTAACTGAACCATCCTGAGAAAATATATCTATGCCTGTGTAACAAATGACCCAAAAACTTAACAGCTTAAAACAATAGTGTGGTTGGCCGCCACTCCAAAAACTATTTTGATAAGATCATGTTTTGATTAAAATTAATGGGTTAGAGATAGAGAAAATATGGCATTATATAAATTTTTTTTCAAAATAAACATTCTAGAAAGCATCTGTTAACCTAAATGAACTAAGTTGTTTAGCATAAAATCCTGTTCTTCCATGTTCTATAAGATCACTGTTGATTTTGTAACCTATAGGAGGTTACAATGGTAGATTTACACAGAAGTTTTCTGTTCTGTAAGTCTCCAGTTTTCAAATGAACACTCACTGGCTGGAAAAACAACAACAAGCGTTTATTATCCTGTGGGTCAGGAATCGGGGCACATCTGGGTTCTTTGGCCCAGGGTGTCTTACAAGGCTGCAGTCAACCTGTCAGTTTGGGCTGCCGTAATTCCCACACTCATCTGGGGGGCGGGGGGTTCCAAGCTTCCAAACTCACTCAAATGGTTGGTGGTAGGATTCTGTTTTCACAGCCTAGTCTACAGAGGGCCTCGATTCCTCACTGGCTCTTGGCTTGAGGCCTCAGTTTCTTGCCATGTGTGCTTCTCCATGGGTCTGCTTACAACATGGCAGTTGGCTTCCATCAATTTGAGCAAGTGAGAGAAAAAGAGAGGGTGATTAAGACAGAAGTCAGAGCCTTTTAGTTACCTCATCATGAAAGTGACCTCTAGGGGCGCCTGGGTAGCTCAGTCATTAAGCCTCTGCCTTCTGCTCAGGTCATGATCCCAGGGTCCTGGGATTGAGGCCCACCTCTGGCTCCCCACTCCGTGGGAAGCCTGCTTCTCCCTCTCCCACTCCCCCTGCTTGTGTTCCCTCTCTCGCTGTGTCTCTCTCTGTCAAATAAATAAATAAAATCTTTAAAAAAGAAAGGAAGGAAGGAAGAGACATCTGAGTCACACTCAAGGGAAGGGGATTAACACAAGGACATGAATACCAAGAAGTGGGAATCAGTGGGAGCCATCTCAGAAGCTACGGTCCACACTGAGTGCATTCCAAAGACAGCCTCGGAAAGGTATATGATGACCCCTTCTTCATCACTGGAGGCACTGGAATGCTCTAGTACGCTCTAGGGTAGGAACAGTGACAATGTGGAGGAATCACCTGATGGATTCCCCAGCTGAATGAATGTCCGCAGTTGGGTGATCATTATCATAACAACAGTGAGGGTGCTGCCTCTGCCCCTTGATAACCAGTGAAGAGGCCTTGTAGTCTTCCAGATAGTGCTGACCACCCTTTCCTAAAACCAATACAGTACCGACTGAATCTAAGGGAGCTTGAAGTGGTTCTTAGAGAAGGATTCAGGAATAGAACTGGTTTGGGAAATTCAAGCATAACTTCTTCGTTCTAGCATATAGTTCCTGCTTGTACTGTACAAGGCAGATGTCCACTGCCTGAGCCTGGGTGGAAAAAGGGTTTTCCAGGTGGATATTCCCTAGGCTTTCAGCAGGAGCCCCAAATGGACGTCTCTCATTTCCTAACTCTCTCTGCTTCTCCCCTTTATCTATTCCCTCTCTCTCAATAACCTCTCCCTTCCCACTTTTCTCTCAAGCTTTGCCTTACTTCCCTAGATAAATAATGAATAGAAGGGATCTTCCTCAGCCTGATAAAGGAAAAACCTACAGTAACATCACACTTAATGGTGAAAGACTGGATGCTTTCCTTCTCAGATCCAAAACAAGACAAGGACATCAACTCTTACCAACGCTTGTATTCAACATTGTACTGGAGATTCTGGCCAACCAATCAGGCAAGAAAAAGAAATGAAAGGGTCCATGTTAGGAAAGGAGAATTCAACTCTCTTTATTTACAGATGACATCATTATCTGTGATAGAATCTACAAAAAAGCTACTAGAACCAATAAACAAGGTTACACGATGCAACATCAATATGCAAATATCAATTGTATTTCTATATACTAACAGAAAACAATTGGAAATTGAAATTAAAAGATAATACCACTTAACAATACCAATATAGGGGCACCTGGGTGGCTCAGTCGTTAAGCGTCTGCCTTCGGCTCAGATCATGATCCCAGGGTCCTGGGATCGAGCCCCGCATCGGGCTCCCTGCTCAGCAGGAAGCCTGCTTCTCCCTCTCCCACTCCCCCTGCTTGTGTTCCCTCTCTCACTGTGTCTCTCTGTCAAATAAATAAAATCTTAAAAAAAAAATACCAGTATAACAGCAGCTATCATCAAAAATATGAAATATTTAGGGATAAATCTGAAAAGAAAAAAAAAAAAAGATGTAAGAGATCTATGCACCAAAAATGACAAAACATTGCTGAGAGGAATTAAAGATGGCCTAACAAGCCAGACGTGTGCCTTGTCCATGGATGGAAGGCTCAGTTTTGTCAAGGTGTTGGTTCTCTGTGAATTTATCTATCAACTCAACATGATCCCAGTGACAATCCCATTAGACTTTTTGAAAGAATTGACAAGCTTATTCTAACATTCCTGTGGAAACTCAGTGGACCTGAATAAAATATCCAAAAAACTTGGAAAAGATAGAACAGAGTTGGAGGACTAACACTATTGCATTTCAAGATTAATTATAAAGCTGCAGTAACCAGAACAGGGTGGTATTGGTGTAAAGGTAAAGAGCTAGATGAGCAGAACAGAAGAGAGAGCACAGAAATAGACCCGCATATGGACATCTCAGTTATAAAGATGCAGATGCAGTTCGGTGGAAAAGGGTTGGTCTTTTCAAGAAATGGTGCTGGAACAATTGATATCCTTATACAAAAAAAAAAAAGAACTTTGATCAATTTCTGATCCATCATAATTAACTCAAGATGGATCAAAATAAAACAAAATTTATAAAATTTCTGGGAGAAAATCTTTGTGGCCTCCAGTTTTGTAAAAATTTCTTAGCTGCAACACCAGAAGCATCATTCTTAAAAGAACAAATTGGTAGTTGGGCTTCATCAAAATTAAAAACACCTGCAGAAACTTTTAAGGGAATGAAAACACAAGCCACAGATTGGGAGAAAATATTTGCAAACGTACATCTAATAAAGGACTTAATGTCCAGAGTATAAAAGAACTCTGAAAAGCCAACCATAAGAAAACAAACAACCCAATTTAAAAACAGACAAAAGCTTTGAACAGGTGTTCCATCCACCCCTGAGAAAAGAAGATATAAGGATATAAGAAGATAAGCACATGAAAAGATGTGCAGTATTATTAGTCATTTGGGAAATGCAAATGAAAGACACCAGGGGTATCACTAAACAGACCTATTAGGTTTTTAAGAAGAGATCAAGTGTCAGCAGGGGTACTGAGCAGCACGAACTCTTACACACTGCTGATGGGAATGCAAAATGTTACAGCCACTTTGAAAACCAGTTTGGCAGTTTCTTAAGAAGTTAAACATATACTTACCATATGCTCCAGCCATTCCACTCCAGGGTACTCACCCCAAAGGAAAGAAATCATCTGTCCATACATAAGACTTGTGTATCAATGTTTACGCCAGTTTTACTTGTAATAGGCAAACAATGAAGAGAGCAGAAAGGTCCACCAGCAGGTGAATGAGCAAACAAATTGTGGTGTAAGTCACACAATTGTATAGTACTCAGCAATTAAAGCAAAGAATGAACTCTTGATACACCTAGTAACTTGGATGAATCTCAGGATAATGATGCTGAGTTAAAGAAGCAAACCAAATAAAAGTGCAAGCTGTATGATTCCATTTATATAAAACTGTAGAAAATACAAACGTAGGGTGACAAAATACAGTCAGTGGTTGTCTGAGGTGAGGGTGGGG